TCTCTGCGGTCGCCTGTGCTGCGATTGTACTGCATATCGCTTGATACTCATTGGCACTATTGGCACAATCTTATCAGAACGGTCGCACCGTTCTTGCTGAAAAAATAACAGAAATCCCACCACGACAGAGAGCTCTGCTCCCAGTATCGTTCACAAGGTGATCGCATCAAACGGTCAGCCGTCTCTTCCATGAAACCCAAAAAAGAACGCCCAATCGACGAGTCAGTGTTAGATAAGCAGAAATCGCTGCTACGATTTCTTTTAAAACATTTTTAGCATATCTGCTAACAGAGTGAAATGTCTACACCGCAGCCGTCTGTACAGCATGATGGAATACTCGTTGCTACATTTACCATTTCCATGCACATAAATAAACCTATTTTAATTGGTTAGTTGCGATATCTTCTTTTTGGGTTGACAGCCACACAAGTGTCTCTTCCATCACAACCTTAGAAATCACGTGAAGATTTTCTTATGACGAGACATTATTTTGTATTCACTTTTCTTTTAAACAAACCACAGAATATTGAACAAATTTTGACTGAAATTGAAGTACCGGGGACAACCTTGGCATCGCGAAGACTGTGGTTCCTTGATCAAACTATTTAATAATTATTTGAGCTTAAGACAAATTACAAAATCATCTTGATGTTAGCCCCGATTCTTTCTGTGTCATCCGCTAGACCACATTGTCGCAATCGATCAGTTGATTGCTGTGAAAAAAGACACAAAATTAACGATTAGGTAATTGGTAGTAAATTGTTGTAGGCGAGCTTATCACAAGGGGATACTGAAGTAGATATCAAGCTATGAAAGTATGACTCAGCTCAGGCAACAGGTGATAAATGAGCTGTTGATGTGAGCCCCTTGAGAAGCGCCTGCGCGACATCACCATGCACTGACCTTGCTGAAGGCAACTGAAAGATATTCTGCGGCGTAGTCCTCAACTCTGAGTTCAGACACAAGAGTTTGCTTCCATTCATGTATCGATAATCTTCCAACAACGAAGCGGACCAGGGTGGAAGATCTGGCTCTTGCAGATGTCGCTGGTGCACCTTCGCAAATTGCTCGGCTAAAAATAGAGTTAAGTATTTAAACTGTGTAATACATATTATTATATATGATGGGTAGCCTACAAAGTATGCAGCCAAAGGTAGCACCGACAGTTCCGTTCACAGTTCGCTCGGCAATTCCGCCCACAATTAGGTCCACATCAGTCCAACTAGCATAGATGCTCTTCATCTTATCCAAAGCCTTTCAATGAACAAAAATTATTTATGTAGATTTGACTGGAGGATGTATGAAAGCGCGTTGACTCACATTTTTGGGTATAAATTTCTCGAAATCACTCCAGCCAGTCACTGGTCCAATCTGGCTGCACACTTCCAAGTATTTGTAATAGGGTTGGAGACCGTGGTCCCTGCCGCGCTGAATATCGAACGCTAGAATATCAGCATGTCCTGGTTTCGTGTTCTCGTGCCAAACGACCTGCAAGAGCGACACAAGCCTTAGAGCATTGAATTCATTGAGACTTTTAACTTACACCACCCGCATAGGAGGAATCCATTTTCAAGGCACGTTGGTTGAGCACACTGTGCAGTATTTGGTCCAGCTTCTTCGCCGTGTACTGAATTCGGGGCCTGTAAATCTGGTCCTTCAGCACAAAAAGGTCTGTTGGCACAGTTGGCGTCACTGTGCTGGAAATTAAAATTAGAGTACACACGTAAAGCAGTCAGCGGTGTACTGAAAAGCAACTCACTTTCGAACATAATTATCGTCGTCATTTTTGGCTAGGTTGTGGAGCTCATTCGGTAGCATAGAGAAATAGAAGCGACTGGCAGCCACTCCGAACTCGTTAGATATCTCAATAGCGCTTTGGCGACTGCTGGGTTGGTGCGTGGCCAGTACCTCTGAGGTCAGTTGCGTTCCGAGCACTTCCGGCAGCCACTCCCGCATGATCACGCGTCTGTAGATGTCCACATTCACCGCCTTGGCCGACTGGAAAAGCTTCTCGTCACTCCAGCTGGGATATCGCTCCATCAGCTCGGCTGCAAGTCGGTTATGGTTGCGCATGAAGATTGTGTAAACCAGTATGGAGTAGGGATTGCTGTTAACACGAGAGTCGCCCGCCGCAAAACATGTTGCATTTGCACTAGCCCCCCACGCACAGAACGAGTGTTCCTTGTAGTCCGTATCGGCGGTCATTGGCAGAAGGTCATTTAGGTGTGCACCGTTCGATGTTGACTTCAGGTTTCCGCGAACGAACGCTCTCATCTTTCTCTCAGCTGCAGGCGTGAAGCCATAAAGTTGGGACAAATCCAAGTATCCTGTGGCCTGGTTCAGCTATTAGCGGATATAAATCAGAACTCGTACCATCCATGGAGCATAGGTACCAACCTGCTCAGCCCCGCCAAAGTTACAGTCGGCTACCGCGAGAGCGCTCCTTACATAATTGAGACAGTTCGCCCTGCCGTACCTTCCGCTGGCCTGAGATATAATTGGCGCACAGGCCGGATGGTTGTGCCTCGGTTGAAGTTTATTCTGATCCCGGTTGCAACATTCTATCGGTGCTCCATTGCCTATGAAAACAGAAATCTTGAAATGAAATACTCTTTAGATGAACCTGAAATTGAGAGTCGCTGTCTTCTTACTCATCGATTGCGAAACGGGCTTGCTAAGATCGTGTTCCACAAACTGGGCCCACTGCGCGATTCCCAAATTAAGGTTTCCATCTGCGTGGTAGCGCGCCTGTTTCGCCTTCTGAATGTTGTCGGGCTCATAAAGCGCCACACTAATGGACCATGGAGCAGGCAAGTGATCCTCTGTAAAAGTCTGAAATCATCAACGTATTAAAGTGGAGCCATTTCTGGCCAAAGCCAACTTCTGAAACGTACCTCATATAACCCGTTCTTGTAGTGGGGGTCAAGCAGTCTCCTAAACGCATGGTGACCCTCCCTCTTGCTCTTCAGCAGCTTAAGGCATTCGGATCGAAGAACGCTGCCCTCTGGCAGGGGCTTGTTTTCCAGATATGCTCGACATTCTTCACCTCCAATGTCATGGGGCAGGCATTGGGTGTTATAGACGAAGAGGCTAGACTTGAGGATCTTCAAGGCAATTTCACTGTCTTCGTTTGAAGCCCTGTTGGGCAGTGTATCCAGAAGTTGCACATGCGAGAGACTACCGTTTTGGACAGTAATTTCTGAGCTCAGAAGGTTTTCCTCCAGTCTGAAATGACAAATCCAGCAATTACATGTTTAATAAATACTAAAAAGGATAGGTATTAGCTAGCAAAGATATTAAATGACGGGATACGGAAATGATTTTAATATGCACTTAAATGTTAAATATTAAATCTTTTAAATTAGTTGGATTATCTTTGGAACATATCAAGGAAATGTTAAATTCTTGGGTTATTAAATCTTTTGAATCAGTGTATGCTGAAAAACGTCCCTTTTTTTTGTTAACTAATGCATTTATATGCATTTTAACGAACCGTTTCTGTCTGTTTATTGAGTCCAGTCCTGAGCTTACGAGCTCTTGCCACTTTTCTGATGAAAGACCGTCTAAGAACGCTTGTACATCTGGATTTATAACTTCTCGTGCTAAAAGATATGAAAAGTCAAACAATTTATTAAGTATATTTTTCACTTGTTAATGCCCACATGGATTTTGGGGAGCCAAGTATCACAAGTTCTGACAAAAATTAACAATGAGTTTCCTACATTTTTCATACTGTTCCACAAACAGCGAACTAAATGTGTGTTTTCCCAGTTGAATTGATATGCACGAATATTACTTGCCAATATTGTCCTTCGTCTATGGGAAATTTTTACCGCGAATTAACGCCGCTACTTTATTATCGGCTACTTAGTATACCCTTGAACAATTTTATTTGTGAATTTTCATGATTTGCGTCACAAAGTGAAACAAATATAGGGTCAAAGTAGCTTGTGTCTGTTTTTTATATTGCAGTATAAATAGTATAACTGGGCGTTAGAAATTGTTTTCGAAAATGTTTTTCAAGTGTGTGACTTACGATGTGGGATCTCCAACCGATTATTCAATGAAGATGCCGACGTTCCTATTACTACAGTCAGCATGCAAAGGTAGATGTTTAGAAACATTTCACTTTGTTTGTTCTTCACGATTCAGCTTATAAAGTAAGTGTAATTTAAGTCACGTAGCAAATGACTGATAAGGAAGTAGCCCGAACTGCGTCTCAGAAGACGCTACTCAGCGCTATTCTGATAATTTGATTGGAACGTCAACGGTTGAGAGCGGCTCATAGACTACTAAATGCATGAAAATTTCCACAACTGGAATCCGCTGAGCCGATCATTTATCAGGCATAATCAACGTCATAATCAGTGTGAGAGCGCGAATTCTCTCTCGGCACTAACAATACGACTTGCGACTGTAAGATACCCGCTGGGCACTTGGTAGACAATTTTTCAAATTAGATAAAGCTATTCAAAATAAACACCCTTACAGCTGTCAAAAGACAGCACACAGACATCATAGAAAATTTGTGAAAAATAGTTTCCCTTTAGCTGACTACGGTGTCGGTGTCAATTTCACTCAATTGATTTGACATTTCGGCCGTAGTAACCGGCATTCCTTTCCAATTCTCAGATTTTTGCATTTTACTAGTTTAAGCCGAAGTCGACTTCTGTTTCGCGCTAAAAGTTTTGAGAGTGTGTGTTTTCTATCTTTTTTGCACATCGTACGTTCGCGACGCGCAAAATGTACATTTCAAACAATGTAAATGTATACCTTATACAGAATCTATTATTTGTAGATAAGAACATGTTTATTAAATATTTTAAAATAATTTATATTAGAAGCGCTTAAGTCCATCTACGTGGACTGCAATGCAGTGTAACCGTAGTGTGTGTGCCTGGTCACACTCGCCTGGTGACGATATATATGACACGCATCGATAGGGGGAAACGATGGTCTCAAAACAGATTGCTATCAATTTTTTTCCATCTCTAATCTCCGAAAAAAGAAGAATATTTTCATCCAAACAAACGTGCAAAATACATACAAAACAATAAAATAAGTCAATCGTCAATAAAATAAGTAGTTTTCAGTTGCAATGCCGACTCTAGACGCAGAAGCCACCGACGAGCAGTTCGGAAATGATCAATCGAAGCCAATGTCCGGACCAATTATTGGCATAATATATCCGCCGCCAGAAGTTAGAAGCATCCTTTACAAAACAATACAATAACCTTATTATACATTTATGCAGATTTAGCATACATATTTAAACGCTATTGCCAATATATTTTGTTTTCCACATACTCAGTAAGCAAAGTTTAAAAATTAGATATCGTTGACAAGACCGCAAGCTTTGTGGCACGCAATGGACCCGAGTTCGAGGCACGCATCCGGCAAAACGAGCTGGGCAACCCAAAGTTCAACTTTCTGAATGGTGGAGATCCCTATCATGCCTACTACAGGCACAAGGTGAACGAGTTTCGAGAGGGAAATGGTAAGCAAACACACCAATTAATTGCAATGTCTTATGTTATGTGAAAACTATTTCAGATGCCGGCATAACAGCTGTCAAGCAACTTGCGGTCACGAGTGCTGCCCAACAGCGACAGCAGGAACTTTTGAAGCAAGTGGTGGAGCAGCAATTTGTCCCCAAGGAACCTCCACAAGAGTTTGAGTTTATTGCTGACCCCCCTTCGATTTCGGCTTTGGACTTGTGAGTGAATCTTGACCAAGAATCTCTGGCCCTCTACTTAATAATTGAATCCCTTTCAGAGACATTGTGAAGCTTACTGCTCAGTTTGTTGCCCGCAACGGGCGGCAGTTTCTTACCAATCTGATGAGTCGGGAGCAGCGGAACTTTCAGTTTGATTTTCTGAGACCTCAGCACTCGCTCTTTCAGTACTTCACCAAGTTATTGGAGCAGTATACGAAAGTGCTCATACCGCCCAAGGATTTGCTGGGAAAGCTTCGCACAGAGAGCGCCCCAGGGCGTAGCAGCATGAACCAGGTACTGGAGCAGGTGAAATACCGCGCCAACTGGCAACGCCACCAGGAGGCGCAGCGTCGTCGGGAAGAGGAAAAAATTGAGAGAGAACGTGTTGCGTACGCCCAGATTGACTGGCACGATTTTGTGGTTGTAGAGACCGTGGATTATCAACCATTCGAGTCTGGCAACTTCCCTCCGCCTACAAATCCAGACGAGGTCGGTGCCAGAGTTCTTATGGAGGAGCGCCTCATGGAAGAGGAGGGAGATATAGAAATGCAAATTGAGTCCGACGAAGAAGACGACTCACAGGTTGCTAGCCATTTGGAGAGTGGCCTCAAGCTGTCGCAAATGGAAAACAGAGTCGGCATCCAAATGAAGAACGTTTCATCGTTCGGCCAATCAGTTGGCACCAAACGGGACAACACTCAGGTGCAGGACATGGACGAAGCATCGAGTGACGAGGACACGCCTGCGGCCAAGCTGCAGCCTGCTGTGGCCCCAATGCAGCCGCCTACTCACGACAAGGTTCTGGTCAAGAAGTACGACCCTAAGGCCACACAACCCAAGGCAGCGCCCATGCCCACGGACGAGTACCTTATTTCTCCAATTACTGGCGAAAAGATCCCGGCATCCAAGGTGTCGGAGCACATGCGTATTGGTCTACTGGATCCGCGATGGGTGGAACAGCGGGACAAGCACACTGTCGAGAAAATCAACCAGGACAATGTCTTTGCAGCTGGTACTGCCATCGAGGCAAGCCTGAAGCAGTTGGCAGAGCGGCGTACCGATATTTTCGGTGTTGGCGACGAGGAAACGGTCATTGGCAAAAAACTGGGCGAAGAGGAGACCAAAAAGGACGATCGCGTTACCTGGGATGGCCACACTTCCAGTGTTGAGGCCGCCACTAGAGCGGCTCGGGCCAACATCACTCTGGAGGACCAAATCCATCAAATTCATAAGGTCAAGGGTCTGCTGCCAGACGAAGAAAAGGAGAAAATTGGCCCCAAGCCTGTGGGAAACAAAGCAACACTATCGGCCCCGCCGCAGCCGTCTTCCAAGCCCCAGCACAGCCATGGCCAGAGCCAGCACCATCAAGGAGGTGGCCACCACGCACACCACAATTTGCACCATCATCATCCACCGCAGCAGCACCAATCAGCTCCGCAGCACCAGACACACCAGCATCCATCCCATCATCACCAGCAGCCCCAGACACAGGCCAATCCTGTCATGATGATGCAACTGCGACCTCTCATGATGCGTATGTAGTTAATTATGATCAATGCCAAACTTCCTGGACAAAACGTGTTCCTCTTGCAGAAACTCCCTTTGGCCCTGGCACTGGAGGGTATATGAACATGCAGCCCACTGGAGGACCAGCGCAAATCTCACCGGCACCGCCAGTCGATCTAATGTCCGTGGAGGATGAGCCGCCCACAAAGAAATTGCGATCGGAGGACAATCTAATCCCGGAAGCAGAATTCATTGCCGCGCACAAGGTCAGCCACCGTTCGATTTATTTATGATTTTTATTCTTAATTTTCACTGCACGATACACGAGACAATAATTCCTTTTGTGTGCACTTTCCGCTCCCTTGCAGAGCCCCGTCACCATCCAGGTTCTTGTTCCGAACTCAGATAAGTCAGAGTGGAAGCTGAACGGACAGATGATCGCTGTAACACTGGCACTCACTGACCCCATTGCTAACCTCAAGGCGAAGCTGCAAGATGAAACGGGCATGCCGCCGGCCAAGCAGAAAATCTTCTACGAGGTAAGCTTCGAGCCTTTTTATTTTAGCTAGACAGAATTATACACACATGCTTTGTCTTTCAGGGGATGTTCTTCAAAGACAGCAACTCGATGGCGTTCTACAATCTCCTAAACGGGATGACGGTGCACTTGCAGGTGAAGGAGCGTGGCGGTCGCAAGAAGTAAGCCTTCGGAGTCGGAGAAACAATCGGCCGAGCTTGTCTCAGTCCAGCATAGTCTTTTGCAGAGAGTTTCTGTACTACATATGTGGAAAATGATTCGTTATGGTGGTTTCGCATACGTTTTTAATAAATTCTCGATCACAGAATTTTGTTAATTGCACTTTAGTCCTACTTATTAGTGTCAGGTGGAATATAAAAGTAAAGAGTAAGTCGGGAATGCGTTGGAGTACAAAATGTGGCCTTGGGTTTCGTTCATAGTTCCTTTCGATCACAGGGTTCCGCTTTGCAGAATTCCCGCCATGTCGCGGTATCGATCCAGCATTGGTGCGTAAATTGCTTCGCTGTCCTTGTGTGGCTCGCAGACAAGCTGCAGATTGTTGGACGTCAGGCTGAGAATATAGTCGCGATAGCTGAGGGGCACCGTTTCATCACTCTCATGACGATACAGAGCATACGATGCTCTGTAAGCGGCCCCCATTAGGGCAGCCTCGCTCTCAGTCTGAAAAAAGGCAATTTTGATGGTATCGAAACATGGCAAAGGGCAATCGAGCAGTGATATTACCTGAATATGGACGGGTGCGTTGAACACGTCAGCGATAACTTGCAGAATGGACTTGTTTATGGACGCTCCGCCAGTGGCAAGGACTTTTGTGTTTGTTCCAAACTGGAAGCCCATGTCTTCGGCAACAGCTCGATGGTGCAGCATTTGACCCTCGATTAAGGCACGAATTTCGATTTGAGGTGATCTAAATCTGTAAAATCAGAACGAATTGGTAGTTAAAATTTATCCAGCGCTTCATTCTATATATGCAATGGCTTACTTAATAACACCCTTGGAAGCGTCCGGGGAATTGGGCAAACAATCCTTGTTCCATCGCAATGTGCCCTTCGCCTTGGGAATAATTTCCATGTCGTTGAAATGCACGGCCATATTGCCAAAGTTTCCACGCGGTGTCGATTCAAGCAGCTCGTTGAACTTCCCCCAATTCCCCTCAGCTTCCACATTGTTCATGGCCTCGCGGACCAAAGAGCCATTTCTAAAACTACAAACATTTTACATATGTATGTGCGTTGTTGTTCTTTCGTAAAGCCGACTTACCATAACAGTCCCATGAACTCGTCCGTCTGCGTTGGATGACACAACACATGGCCCTCCTCCCAGATTGGCGGCTTTTCAAAACTCATCATTAAGGTGTCGCTAGTGCCAAGGGATACACTCAGCCAGTCATTGTCCACTAGCATGCCTGCCAATGCCGACGGATTATCGCCGGTGCAAGCGACGACTTTGCATGACTCCGGAAAGCAGAAGCGCTTTGCAAAATATTCTGAAACGTCGCCAAGGACCGTATTGGCACTAACCGCCTGGCCAAGACGCTCGTCCAGGTCAGGGGCACAGGCATTCAGGCAGGCCTTAGACCAGGATTTTTCACGGATGTCCAGTAGGTTCATGCCGGAGCCATCGCTGAAATCGATCGGGGCCACATTGCCCAAAAAGAGTGAGGCCAAAAAGCTGCTGACCAATGAGATTCGTTGGGCATCCTCGTAGGCATGCGTGCGCTGCTGGTAGATCTTGCGTATCTGGGGCCCTGTAAATCGTTCGTAGCACTTGGAGCCCGTCAGCTGAACCATCTGGGTGTGACCTCCAATGGCCGTCTCCATCTCCAGGCACTGCTTGGTGGTGGACGCATCCATCCAAATGGGAGTGCGGTTGACCACAAATGCCGAGTCATCAATTTGTGCGTGGAGAAACTTTTCAGGATCAAGGTTCTGCAATGCTGAAATGCCGTGCTTTGACCAGTACAAGGAGCCATGCTGCTGTCCCGACCCACTGATGGCAGCAACGGTGCTCAAATCCGCCTCCTGCATCACTAAACGGTCCAGCACAATGTCCATGGCCTTCACCCACATCACTGGCTGCACAAAGAATCTGACGAATAGGTCATGTATAGGTCATATTTAGGAGTCTAGGCCTGGACGTACTCATGTTTGTTGGGTCCGGGACTGGCTCCACCAGAGGTTCGAAACTCCGGTAAGTCGCTGTCAAACTTCACCTCGGCCGAGGCAACAACTTTCAGGCTGGAGTTGAGCAGAATAGCTTTCAGCTGAAAAGAGTCATAGGACACACCTTAAAACTAACGATCAAGCATGTCTGTAGGTTCTAAGGGCAAATAAGTGTCAAAGATTGCGTCATTTTGCTTGACTTTCTAGTTCTTTGGGTGGTTAACTGGAGGCGTAGGGCATAAAATACATACGCCTATAGCTAAATTAACGTGGCTTACAGATAAGCAATAGGGAACGGCTAGGGGTCATTGATAAGAAGTAGCTGATACGTTATGAGATTCGTGTGCCCCTCTATGTTGTCTGACCTCTCTCAATAACACACGCTTGGTTGAAGCTGCATGCGTAAGCAGACGAAATACAAGTTGTCGAGCAACACGCCTCTGCAGCGCAAAAATTCAACGTAGGCAGTGGCTGCTGCCGTTTTACCTTCTGAGTGCTCAAGTCGAAGCCCAAAAATGTGCGCCCTAATTGCGGAGGGCCCATAGTGTTTGCTTCTCGTACGTCTCGGTTTCGTTTATCGCCTTGTAATCGACGGCTCCTTCACATCCAACATGCAGATCAAGTTGCCGCTTGAAGAGAAAATGTTTTTTTTTACAAACTAGAAATTTTGAATGTGAGGCTTTATAAACAACTAGGGATGATTGTTACGCGATAGATACACATATCGATGCTTCAATTATATATCGATGGTTAGTGACCACAGTAGGACCAGAGGCGTGTCGAGTCGAGTTCACGTCTTGTATTTTATATATTTGGGATTGGCTCAGAAATGTATTATATAGATGATATTATATTGTATATTAACATAACCATATCTTTAAACCGCTTGCTTGTTCTAAATTAAAATTATATTAGCACATAAAGTACAACAACAAGGAATGGCCATGGTGAATGTTTACTAATAAGGCGTAGTCCCTACATCTGCTCTCTTTCGAGAACCATCTCAAGGTGAATTTACTATCAAGGTGGTATAAGCAAGAGCGATTTTGAAAAGTCTGTGGTCCTCTCATCTGCTCTCTTTCGTGGCGTTCTGGCGTTCGCTTGTCTCTCTCTTCTTCATAAAACAAGTAAAAGTATGTGCTTACTATTATAGTACACGGATAAAACTGAAGCCAACTGCTGTACCGCAGAGGCCAAGACCTGTGCAACCTAAGTTCACAGAACACATGTCATCAGCTTGTGGCGATAAAGTTTTTGATTTTAGCTCTCAAACCGAGTATGTTTACATGCAGTTATTATATTTTATGGCTAATAATAAGATCAATTTTCAGAGAAGAAGTTGTTAATTCTGGGCTTGCCATCGAAAATATGCGCTTGCAAAAGAAAATTACTGACCTGCAACGCGAAAATGCTAAGCTCCTTGAAGAACTCGGAAAAATGCAGATGCTTACTGATTCCCTTAACACAATATTCACAAAATCGCAGGTCAAGAAACTAGAGAACGGCGGAAAGAGAGTCCTTTGGAATCACGATGACATATCAAATGCAGTTTGTCTCCATGCTGCTGGTCCCCGGGCGTATCGCCATTTGATTAATAAAGGGTTTCCACTTCCATCCTTATCGACTTTGGACAAGTGGTTGAGCTCAGTTAACATACAGCCGGGAATGTTAGATTTTGTCATCTCCTTGATGGAAAATGCCGTGGACGTTTACGAGGAGGACAAAATATGTATAATCTATTTTGACGAGATGAAAGTAAAGTCGAAAAACGAGAACGAACACTCTCTGGAAGCAGAGCAAGAGCCACGGGACTACGTTCAAGTCGCAATGGCACAAGGATTGCGCAAGTCTTGGAATTATCCGCTGTATTTCGACTTTGACAAGCCAATGACTGTATCCACATTGCATATGCTCATTGAAAAGCTCTATATGGTAGGATATTATGTCGTGGGAGTCGTTACCGAAATGAAGCCCAGGAATCATCAATTGTGGACAAATCTTCAGGTCTCGCCTGGTAAGAATCTTAAAATAAAATATTTACTTGAATACATTTTTAATTTCTTATTTAAATAGAGAAAACATGGTTTGAGCACCCAGCCGACTCTGCTAAAAAAGTGTATGTGTTTGCAGACGTACCCCATCTTGTGCAGTTGATAAGAAACCACTTCGTTGATTCAGGGCTGCCCTCGTCAGGCAGACAGAGAGTCAAGCTGCCAACTGAGNATAGGTAAAAACTTTATTAGTAGTAGTGATTAAATACATATTTTTCCAAAAGAATACAAATAATTGTTTTATGTATCAGATTATCATTTTTTATGTTCATGCTGTATACTTGATTGAAATCGATATTTTTTTTCGGGAACCAGGGAGTGTTCTACTTATTTATTGGTTTATTTTATTCTGTGGTGCGGTTATTAGAAGTGATTTTTTCAACAGCAAAAGTAGTACGGTTTAAAAATCAGAAGTATATTTCAGTATTTTTCTAAGGGTCAAATAGTATATTTTATAGATAAGTCCTCGGTAACACTGCTGTCAATTGACATAAATTATATTTATATTTAATACTTTTATCTTTTGATTAAAAATGACACTGAACTACTAAGAAATGAGCTGGTCAGGTAAAGTTGCTGGTGTTATAATTAGTAATGGGGTGTTATCCGACTGCAATTGAATTAAAACTGGCAATGGACATCGACATCTGATTCTGGAGCAGGTGATAATAGCGGCCCGAGTGACTGGATGTGGAGAGAGCATGGCTTCCGTTCCCGTTGTTTTGGGAGACCGGGACACCGTCAAGATATTTAAGATTTGGTAATACTTGAAGAATATAGTCGCGTGCTACAGCCGTTTTGGCACCCTGACGGCCGAAGACGGTGCTGATGACAGGGTTGCCCATGCACGACAGCTGTTCCAGTGCCGGGCAGTGACGTTCGATGCGGTGTATCCAGTCGGTTATGTTCGAGACATCGCAGTTGTTGATCCTAACAGACAAAAGTGTCAATGTGGCTATCCAAATCAATGCAGACGACGATGACTTACCACAATATATTAAGGCTTGGGAGATACGGTAGTGTGTTTAAGTCCAAATTCACATTTCTGCTTCCTTAACCTACCTATCTTCAGATTTAGAACGTTCAGATGTCGATGCTCGAGACATAACTTTATTTAATACTTACAACAGGGAAGAAGTACTTTACTATTAAAAACATACATGTACTTATTTACATCTGTATGTTCTGATTAGGATGTTATTCTTTGCTTGGGATTTGGGGTCCGAAGCTCATAATGTAATGTAGTGCAATGCGTCTTCCGCTAGCTCTCTGGTGGGTTTTATTTTGGTCCAATGATGGGTGCAAACGAAAGGAAAATGATAATTCATTCTCGCGCCGCACAGATAATCTCAGTCTTTCCGCTCGGAGTGCAAACAAAATATAATAAGTATGTGTAATATACATCCATACTTGCACGTAATTGTGCATACATGTGTATTTCATCATTGCGGACAGGAAGTACAATCCACACTCACGAATGTATATGTATGTATTTACATATTACAACAAAATAAAGCCTAGAGAATGGTGAAATTAGTAATAAGGTGACGGATTCACCACCTCATTCGAGGAACACCAGCTTGTCAGTAGTTTGTGTAGCGCGCGAATTTTTTTCATTGTCTTATTCCTTTTCTTCATTGTATACAAATGAAGACGTAAGCGGAAGACAATGAAATAAGTATGCAAGTACTATTTTATTTTGGATGTGTATTTTTTTATTTTTAGAAATAAACACGTCTGCAACATATTGTTTGCTATGCCGATGCAAAACTTTGCATGGAAGTATTTTAGTTCCAAGAGACGAAAACAGAAGGGAGGTGTGGTCGAAGAGCACCGGCGTTACATTTACTAAAACAAGTAAAATTTGTGGGAAACATTTTAATGATTCCGACTTTTTTTACTGTACGACCGTTAATGGAGCAAAGCGGAGACGGCTGATACCAACTGCCGTACCACAGAAACTAGAAGCAAAGCAAGTGTTCACAGAACATATGGCATCAGCTTGTGGCGATACAGTTTTTGATTTTAGCTCTCAAACCGAGTATGTTTACATGCAGTTATTATATTTTATGGCTAATAATAAGATCAATTTTCAGAGAAGAAGTTGTTAATTCTGGGCTTGCCATCGAAAATATGCGCTTGCAAAAGAAAATTACTGACCTGCAACGCGGAAATGCTAAGCTCCTTGAAGAACTCGGAAAAATGCAGATGCTTACTGATTCCCTTAACACAATATTCACAAAATCGCAGGTCAAGAAACTAGAGAACGGCGGAAAGAGAGTCCTTTGGAATCACGATGACATATCAAATGCAGTTTGTCTCCATGCTGCTGGTCCCCGGGCGTATCGCCATTTGATTAATAAAGGGTTTCCACTTCCATCCTTATCGACTTTGGACAAGTGGTTAAGCTCAGTTAACATACAGCCGGGAATGTTAGATTTTGTCATCTCCTTGATGGAAAATGCCGTGGACGTTTACGAGGAGGACAAAATATGTATAATCTATTTTGACGAGATGAAAGTAAAGTCGAAAAACGAGAACGAACACTCTCTGGAAGCAGAGCAAGAGCCACGGGACTACGTTCAAGTCGCAATGGCACAAGGATTGCGCAAGTCTTGGAATTATCCGCTGTATTTCGACTTTGACAAGCCAATGACTGTATCCACATTGCATATGCTCATTGAAAAGCTCTATATGGTAGGATATTACGTCGTGGGAGTCGTTACCGAAATGAAGCCCAGGAATCATCAATTGTGGACAAATCTTCAGGTCTCGCCTGGTAAGAATCTTAAAATAAAATATTTACTTGAATACATTTTTAATTTCTTATTTAAATAGAGAAAACATGGTTTGAGCACCCAGCCGACTCTGCTAAAAAAGTGTATGTGTTTGCAGACGTACCCCATCTTGTGCAGTTGATAAGAAACCACTTCGTTGATTCAGGGCTGNTATTTTTCCAAAAGAATACAAATAATTGTTTTATGTATCAGATTATCATTTTTTATGTTCATGCTGTATACTTGATTGAAATCGATATTTTTTTTCGGGAACCAGGGAGTGTTCTACTTATTTATTGGTTTATTTTATTCTGTGGTGCGGTTATTAGAAGTGATTTTTTCAACAGCAAAAGTAGTACGGTTTAAAAATCAGAAGTATATTTCAGTATTTTTCTAAGGGTCAAATAGTATATTTTGTAGATAAGTCCGCGGTAACACTGCCGTCAATTGACATAAATTAAATTTATATTAAATAATTTTATCTTTTGATTGAAAATGACACTGAACTACGAAGAAATGAGCTGGTCAGGTAAAGTTGCTGGTGTTATAATTAGTAATGGGGTGTTATCCGACTGCAACTGAATTAAGCACGTGTCCTTTTCTTTGTAAATGTGTACCCACATTGTATGTACATATGTCTGGATAAAAGAAAATTTATACAAGATTTCTTAAATTAAATTGGCTAGAAAAGCAAATTCAAAACATATAATATATATTTTTAGACGTGCGAGACCAGTTTAGAAAGTGGCGCGAGGAGACCGGACGCCATAGCGAGGAGGTTGTCCAGCTTTGGGTCGCGGTACTCGAGGACAAAGTGCATAAAACTGGCAATGAGCGACATCTGATTCTGGAGCAGGTGATAATAGCGGCATTGGATACGGCCCGATTCGACATTGCCACTAAGTGCACCAAGCAGCTGAGCCTGGAGTTTCCCGGTAGTCTGCGCGTCATGAAGTTCAAAGCTATGCGTTACGAAGCACTTGAACAATATGACGAGGCCGACGAAGTGTTGGATGCCATAATAGCCAAAGATGAGACAAATGCTGCGCCCCGGAAAAGGAAGATTGCCATACTTAAGGCGCGTGGTCGTCGAGTGGAAGCCATCAAGGAACTAAACGATTATCTAAAAAAGTAGGACTTTCTGTAGAATACATTGAAAAAGAATTCTAGCTAATTTATTGTATGAACAGGTTCATGTCCGATCAGGAAGCATGGCATGAGCTATGCAGCATGTACTTGGCAGAGGGTGAGTACGGAAAGGCATCGTTTTGCATGGAGGAAGTTTTGCTGCACAATCCCCACAGCCATTTAATACATCAAAGACTCGCAGAGATACGTTACACCATGGTGAGCTTTTACCATTATTTGAAATCAAATTCCAATATAAATAAGTTGTTTTTTCTTGTAGGGTGGCGTTGAAAATGTTGAAGCAGCTCGTACGTACTATTCGCAGGCTCTTAAGTTGAATCCTCACAATTTGCGTGCTCTCTATGGCCTTTATTTGAGCTGCAACTTTTTGGCCAACTCTAAAGCAGTTAGTTCCAAGCGTAAAGAGTCGCAAAAGCTGGCACAGTGGGCCCTGGAACAAGTTTCGTCCCATACCGCCAAGCAGTCTTCGATCAAAAACAATGAGAAATTAATTCTCTCATTGGAGGCAGCATTAGGAAACTTGGAAATAAAGTCAAATTGACCCAAAGATGCACTTATTGGTGGATTAATGTGTGCAACATATGTCTAAACAAAAATTCCAAATATTCTCCAAAATAAGTTTCCAATATCTGATTCTTGAACAATTATCACATATAAATACTAAACGAATCACTCTTTAAATTGACTGCGTTAAGATAGTTCGGCAATAAACTGTGCATAAAGATCAGAAAATTGTTATTGCAACTTTGCTTGTTTCATTGCACTTCTCCCGTAGTCCCTTCCTTAATCATATGTATGAAGAGTAGAAGAGGTCAGTAGGTTACTTTCAGAGTCCCACAGTGAGTAAGCGATTTGTGGGAGAGCAGAGCGGATTGGTGTGCTCTCTTCGTGTATTCATTTGCCTTACAAGTTTGGAAGAAAAAACGTTATCTAGTATGAACATGAATTTTGATGGTGAAGCTTATTTCTGTACGTTTAATAAAAAATAGTCATAATCAAAACAGCTGCAGATTAGATATTGACCAACGTGGTCTTTGAGTTATAATGTTACAATGAATAAAATTAGCACAGCATATTTTTAATAATCCAAGTCACAATGAAGAACACTAACTGATTTCGTTCAATTTAGGTGAATGAGTGCATCACTGATAGTTCCATGGATGCCTGAATATGACATGCACATGTATGTTCTCTTTCCGAACCGTGTTTTAATGTTACGTCAGTTTGTGGAGGATCCGTTTTCAAACATCTGATCGCCTCGAGCTCCATCAGTATAGTGCGGCTTCGGCGATGGTTTGAGTCGAAAGAGATTTTTGAAAGCGAGCGTCGGTGTTGAAATTTTCCCACTGCCTGAGTGACTCGTTGAGTCTTGGCATTGCCTTTGGGATGTGGAGAGAGCATGGCTTCCGTTCCCGCTGTTCTGGGAGACCGGCACACCGTCAAGATATTTAAGATTTGGTAATACTTGAAGAATATAGTCGCGTGCTACAGCCATTTCGGCACCCTGACGGCCGAAGACGGTGTTGATGCCAGGGTTGCCCATGCACGACAGCTGTTCCAGTGCCGGGCAGTGACGTTCGATGCGGTGTATCCAGTCGGTTATGTTCGAGACATCGCAGTTGTTGATCCTAACAGACAAAAGTGTCAATGTTACTATCCAAATCAATGCAGACGACGATGACTTACCACAATATATTAAGGCTTGGGAGATACGGTAGTGTGTTTAAGTCCAAATTCACATTTCTGTCTAAAATCAGTGTGTCCAGGTCCTCGAAGAAGGAGAGAAATTTCAAATCGCGAAAGTCATTATGACTAAGGTCGAGGCACTTGGTCTGTGCTGCAAATTTGTCTGCAAGTCGCCTTGGGATGCTTCTTAGATTTTCGTAGGCCAACGAAATGCGGCCATTGTCCTCGAGTATAAAGTCTGTGAAGGAAACGTCTTCGCTGGCGCAGCTGCTATTCGACACGTTCCCGCTGAAGGAGTACGGGTTTGGGGAAATCATCTTACGTTCGTTGTAGTCGTAGCTGTGTGGCAGGCTCAAGCTTTCCAGCGATTGAATATCGGCACAGTTCCTGAGCACCTCGGTCAAGCAACTCTGTGAGTGGCTAAGTCAGGGTGCGAGACCAAGATATAGAAATCATTTGCTTTGTTGACGCTCAGGCGCTTCCTTAACCTACCTGTCTTCAGAGTTAGAACGTTCAGATGTCGATGCCCGAGACATAACTTTATTTAATACTTACAACAGGGAAGAAGTACATACATGTACTTATTTACATATGTATGTTCTGATTAGGATGTTATTCTTTGCTTGGGATTTTGGGTCCGGAGCTCATAATGTAATGTAGTGCAATGCGTCTTCCGCTAGCTCTCTGGTGGGTTTTATTTTGGTCCAATGATGGGTGCAAACGAAAGGAAAATGATAATTCATTCTCGCGCCGCACAGATAATCTCAGTCTTTCCGCTCAGAGTGCAAACAAAATATAATAAGTATGTATAATATACATCCATACTTGCACGTAATTGTGCATACATGTGTATGTCATCATTGCGGACTGGAAATACATTCAACACTCACGAATGTATATGTATGTATTTAAATATGTATGTACCATACATGTACACATATGGAGAACAACAAAATAAAGCCCAGAGAACATTGTTTTCTCTTTGTTGATGCTTCTACCCCGCACAAGCACTAACGGCTGGGTATGATAAGTTCATTGTTCTTACGTATGTACATATTTACATAAATACGTACATATGTATGTATGTACATATGTAAATATGTAGCTTTTGCTACTTTTCCCCCGATTACTTTTATTTGTATCAAACAAAGGAAGCAAAATGTCTATCGGCAACTTTAGCTGCAAATCGTCCAGCTCGTCATATCTGTCGATCACGAGAATTTGTATCCTCACTATTATATTTGAAACGTGTACGACTTCTATTAATTAAATCCACTACTCCACTAAACATACAATGTACATATTTACATATGTCAGGAATTCTTCATTTTTCGGTGATGCGAATGATTGACTTGTAAAAATTGTAACACCCTCTGGTATAAGGAATGTATCTATCTTCTCTAGGGTATACATGCATTGTTAACTTGATAAAAACCCAGAAAACATCAATTAGTTCAAAAATGATAATTGGGCTATTTTTTTGACCGATTGTTCCTAAGGCTGCCAAAAGATTGAGCCTTTATCTACTCGGCAGTTACTGGTGACCATTATGATAAAATTTCATAATAACTGTTCCATATGGTCGCGGCTGGTTCTGCAATTCGAATGTTCAGTATTCTTAATATTTATACAGCCGTGTGGTTAAATGAAAGAAGAATGGAAATCAAAACATTCTCATCTTGGAGCATATTCAATTCAAAGATGAGACACACAAATGGGTTAGCTGTAGTTGTAGTTTCCACCGCACCGCACCACTTTGGTTAATACGAGCAGTAGCAAAAAGCACAGCGTGGTGATGGGAGGCGAGGGCGAGCCCCCATTGACTCTCGGGCCAGCGGCACCCGTTGCTACTGTTGGTGCTGCGGCGGAATGTAGACGGAGCGGTATCGGCAGTCTGGTTTCATACATGGACTTCAATAGTTCGGCGCGGGCACCGGCAAGAGCTTGCAAGATCGACAGCGACGTTCGCTGTACCCCGGTGGCAGTGTTTTTGTCTATTTTGTGTGACTAATCCGCAATCGGCAATCGGTGCTTGGCCTCGCCGATGAGCTTTCAAATCAACCAAGGCGGTAATTACAAAAACACGTCCAGATTTGCTAAGAGTGCAGCTGAGCGCCGACTTTTAAAAATCAAACTGGCAGAAATAACAGTTTTATTTTTTGTCATTGATTAGCATAGCATAGGCATAGTCACCTCACTCGTATTCGTCGGTTGCTAGTGGTTGCATTTTTCTACCCTTGAACAATCGATTAGCATAGGCATGGACAGGAACATTCATTGACACTGAACGTATTGATTAATTGACAACATACGATGTACGATACACACATATGCTAGAATATACATAAATACTTTATGAGTATGTATGTATGTACATACGTTGTACATCAATTAACCGAATGAGGTCTTTCCGCTCTTATCTTTCGGTGGCGCGTGTGGTGTGTACCTCCAGTGAATTTTAGTGCCAAGTGTAGTGTGTAGTAGTTGTACTTGTGGCAACCCAATCATTCGACCTTTGTTTCTGTGTTTAAGCACAGTGGACATTGGCTTGCGCGAGAATATGTGCATATGTATGTACATATATACATTGTGCATGCACTTTAATTCTGATGTGACTAATGTAACTGTAACTTAAAAAAAATTGGTCAGAGTACACGGCCTCTTTGCCTGGCTTAACAAAAAACCATAGCAAAGTGTGAAGAAAAAGATTGGTCGGCTATTTAAGAGTCTTACAATGCCTCCAAGGATTATTAAGAGCTGAATTAAACGGCAAAGTTGTTCTGTTAGCTAGATCAAGTGAATACTGTACCAGTGCTAAAAGCTTCCAATCAGCTGAGTGGTCTGCTCTATGTAGGAGTGAGTTCATTGATTAATGGAGCTGACGTTGTCGTTTCTTTCTTTGCGAATCTTATCAGAGAGCAGTGGCAGCAAAAATGAAAAAAGGCCCATTATTGGCGCTCGGGAACTCATTTGTGTATATTTCTTATATGGCTTTATGTTATTGGAAAACAATCGAATGTATTTTTAAAGGAATTATTAATAGGGAATTGCATTGTACAAAAGCTCGTTGGCTGGAGCAAAGTCCAGAAGAAGGTTGTTGATGTATTTATTCTGTGTTGTTGAGTAAATAATAACTAAAGTGGCTTATCTTTGTTTTTGTTTTTTGTTTTGATTTGCTAGTCGCTATTCGCGAATGAACCAAGAATTCAATTGCAGCGTCAGTTGTCTTTGTATGCTTTCGTTATGTTGGCATTCGAAATTCAAGGGCAAGCCCATCGTTGAAATGCTAATTTTGCACTATGACCTTCCTGTGTTATTTTGAAGTTCGAGCACGTGGTGAATCACCAAACGAGTCAACATTCCACTTTGTGAAATCCAATCGCTCTACCAGAAAGGGCCTTATATGTATTGTGCGGATATGGCTTGAAATTTCAGAGTCTAAAATGAACCAGGCTTGTACTTTTTATAAATAGCCTTAAACCAAGATAATGACAAAAAATATTTTTGATCCAAATTTATATCACATTTGGTTTGTGTGTTTTGATGAAAGACTTGGAAGTATAATTTGAATTAATGAATGAATGTTTGTGCCATTTCAGGGGATTCAACATACATTTTTGGCATTTTCTATATGAATGACAAGAACGCGCAAGAACATACATACCATACATAATACATATATGGGAGGAAGGTTTTTATTTTTGTACCGTCATTTAACGAACCTTAGAACTTTTAGAAATGCTTATTTTCTGCTGTCAGACACGTTTGGATGAATACAATAAATTACATATGTCTGTACATACATATGTATAAGTTATACCCTTGTATAGTTGGTGTCAAAAGTCAGGTGGTGTCTTCCCACCTACGTGTTTAGGTAAACGATAAAGTTGGAATTTCTAGCAACTCTAAGTCTAAGAGGGCTCAACGCATGTACTCGTACTTATCTTTGCTCCTGGTACTGCTTCAATCGGCAGCAACTCGTTCATTGGACATGGAACGGTGAAGGACAGGGTCAGTCATTGATATATTAAGTCACATTTCAATACTGTTTCATACTGTCATCGCTTGTTGGGTAAAGCTTTCAGTAATTGACAGTGTGTATGTGGAAAATTCTAATGAGATGGACGAACAGCGTGAGTCGTTATTTGTCATGGCTATCAACTGACTGGTACTGAGTCAGTACTACTAACTGAGGTTATCGGACAGCACAAATCTCTAAATACTTTTCATGATATCGTTGAAAGTTAGACACATGTATGTACATATGTATTTAGATATGTTCATAAGTATGCATGTACGATTTACGCTCTTTTCACGGAACTATATTTGTTATATTACTTTTGTACCATTTCAGACTCTAATCAATATCAACAAGTGAAAGAGGAATAATGACTGGATCAGGTAAATATCTAAATCTGAACATGAGTGTAAAAAATACACAGTCTTTGCAAGAAATACTTGCTTATTTATGGATACACAATTCAATAAAATAATTTAAATTGCGGGCATATGAAGATACATAACTAAAAAACAGATGTGTACGAAGGAAATTATTGTTTTGTTTGTCATTATTAATTTTTGTGGCCATGTGTACATATGTATCTACATATATGAACGGTAAATAACAAAACGCCAGTCTTACTTCCAAAAATCCCCTCGAAATCGGATGACTGTATTTTTTAGCTAATATAAAAACCATAAATCTGTTGATAAAAAGCCAACATTTCGTGATTGTCACTTTTCTATTTTCAGTCCACGATCCGAAATGGAGCCTGGAAAGAAGGGAGTCGTCGGGTCATTTGGTTTGGCGCAAGGAGTCCCCAGAATCTAAGGTTCGATTTCGGTTTGATGTCGAGGTCCTGGAGTTTGAAAAGCATCCACATGAAGAGCTTGAGGAAAAAGAAGATCACTTCTCAATCTCAAATCTGTCGACGACAATTGCCTTGTGCGCCACCTGTGTTGCCGTTGTGGCCGCAACAGTGTTTTTGCCCTGGTATCTTATGGAGAGAGTTGGCTCGGTATGAAGGCTCTGTCAGTAAAGAGCTATAAATACATTTATGTACAATATGTACACACATCCGATCCGTGACGGTATTAAATAGACTTTTGTGTATATACAACGTAGATTTTAAATTAGTTTAAAATGTAAATAGTACGTACAGTGTAAATATGACATATGACATACGCATAAAGAGCGTTTTTGATAATGACTTATGTACATATGTATAAATGTACATCAATTATAAAATGAGGATTAAATTCTCATACGTTTATTTGAGTGCAGATGATGCCAGATCACATGCTGTTGCAGGAGATCACAAGCAATAATGTAATAAATAAAAAACACTTACTTGCCTTCAAGAGTAGTCTTTTAATTTGGTGTCTTAGCACGAAGTCATTTCATCAGCGAAGATCTCTGAGTTTTTCAGCCAGACCTGAACATTTTTCTCCAGCACAATGCTACGGATGCCTTTATTTCGAGATACTACTTGCAACTGGCGGCAACAACCAATTAGACCTTGGTAATAGTTCATCCCTCGGCTACGGGCCATTTTGGGGAAAAATCACAATCATCCCCCGCAACGGTAACATCCTTTTTACAACGCTCCTGGGTAGGGTAGGGTTGATGGCGTAATACCATCTCTTCGGATTGATTAATTTTCTTGTGGTTTATGGCAGCGCTAAAAGCCCTTTTACATCCAATACAATTTCACGCTATTAAATCATTGGGTATCGTGTGTAAAAATGGCGGAGCGGCAAGAAAAAAATGATATTAACGACCAACCCGGTCCTACAATAAACCAGCTGCTTCTTTTGCTAACTAATTGGATATATTCACAATCGGAATAAAATCAAAGCCAACGTTAATGCTCAAACAGACAAAATTAATTTAAATATATTTAAAATTGTTGTATTCAAAGAGCATTCATAAGAGTGCATCTTTCATATGAAATGAAGGCCGTGTAAGCAAATGCGAGACAGTTTACCTAAAAATTTGAATGATTTCACTTATAATTGCTACAAAGATTGATTTGTAAGTAACAAACAATTTTTGTATGGAAAATAAATGATTTTACTTTACTGTTTTTGTGGGATCCATCTCCATTGTATCATTGTAGCTTTATTCTCCAGAGAGCAGCTCAAATGCAGAACAGGTGCTCTAGCGTTTATGCACGTTAGCAATATTTAAAAAGCAATTATCCGGTAACTTAACGTTCAGGCACGTGCACTTCGTATAAAACGTTCCGAACGTTTATACTTAATGGAAACGCCAATCGCAAACATTATGCCTAAGGGTAAAGTAGAACTATCACTGTTCAACAATGTTACTCAAAGAGTGAAAAATATCCAAATAAGCTCGTGATCTCTAATAGAGTCGGAAATGAACTTATAAATATGAATGCACACAACACACATAAAGTGGCCTTCTACTCTCTGTCTTGGCCTGCGTCAGAAGCCGAATTGGCTTATCTGAGCGGGACAGCAGTGAGCGAATTTGGATCTTGATAAGACTTTGAGGCGGATGAGAATGACGACGAGCTCGACGAGCGAAAGCGATAAAATGCTGGCACCATGATAAGATTCCCATAACGTTGCTGCATATGAATATTCCTTCTTGAGCTGGTGCTGATACTCGCATCGTGGTCTCCTTGTTTCGGTTTTGGTTTCTTGTTTGCACTATTTCTTTATATCTATACGATCGTGTTGATCACTATGTACCTGTGAGCTTGAATTAGTTTACTGTTTGCGCCGGCCGAGTGAGGCCGCCTTCGGAGCAAGATTGCTGTACACCCCAAATACATACGTAGAAAGAGAGCTCGGTAGAGATCAACATTGCGATCTCGTTTGAGATTCAAACGCTGTGCGATTGATCAGAGGGTAAGCCCGACCTAGTCTGTCGTCTGATCTCCACTGGAGCTGACGCTATACCTCCTCCTCCGTGCCCGAAGCTCATACAAACAAATGTTCATACATTAGCCAACAACCAAAGCGAACACTTGCAGTTGTTGATTAGAGGCAGTGTCTTGGGGCGCAGAATATAAGAAATCGAAAACAGAAAACAAACAAAGCCCAAAAGTGACACAGAGTCCGAGCGAGAAGCAAATAACCTGTTTCAAAATTGTCTAAAAGTAAGTCCCCAAGGCCGATCTCTCGGTCTTTGAAGAGTTTTTGAAAATGTTTGACGTTGAATCCATTTTGTTGTGTTTTTTATTGTTCCATTTCAGTTGAGATCGCTTCGAAATGTCCACAGTGCCGGAGACATCTTTCGCTGACCTGAGTTTGGCAGATAAGGCAAGTATTGCATAAAAGTTATCCAACGAGTTCTAGTGCTATCATAGTGAACAATATACATAGAAGAGCGGAGTCATAATCACTCATCTTAACGAATAACGATTCAAAAGTAAACAGCACGTGACGGACGACTCGAAATGTAAACAAAGTCGGAAAAGTAGCAGCAAGAAATGAGTAGAGTAGATGGTACTTCGAGCACACCGAAGCTGTTCGTACCCTGCTTCCACAAATTATCTGATTTGAAATTAATAACAATTACAATTTTATGAGTAACGATGACTAACCTCCATAATGTTTTAGGAAATGTATAAAATATTCGACTGAATGCAAGAATTGAGCGATTACACAGACAGGGCAAATTGAAAGTGTACATGTGTGAAAAATAGAGCAGTTTTATTCCATACGGTCAAAGAATAGATACGAATATAAAAAATAAACATTTGTAGCCACTTAATGGCATCTGTTTACACACACGTTGGAAAGTAATCGATTGAGGTCCGATGTAGACGATCGATTTCACATCTCTTCGGGTCAATTGGCGTGACGAATTATCGATCGCATGCTAAACGATGCCAATTAGTGTCAGGCTTCGCATATGTTCCCTCTTGGATTTCCTTAGAATTCATACCTAGATTTCGGTGGATCGACATATCTTCTACATTTCCTACGCTAAAGAAAGTTGCAAATGTTATTTATGATATTTATTTGCACCTGTCTTTACAGACTGCGGTTAAGAAGTCGAGCATTATAGCTCGTCGTTTTTCCGATGTGTCCACCTGCTCGTATAGCTCCAGTAAGTTGCTTCCATCATTGGCCACTGCCAACTCCTAAGTGATCTCTTATTACATTTTCGACCAGCTTGTTTCACGGGGAGTTCAGATGAGGATGAAGTCTCACCCAAGGACAACAGGCAGAGCAACTCGAGCGGCAGCACCGATTTTTGTATAAAGAATATTAGCAAGAGTGCGTTTGGACGCAGAGAGATCGATATTGCAGAGTCGGAAATGCCTGGAATAATGAGCCTACGGAAGCGGGCATCCGAGGAGAAGCCCTTGAAGAATGCCAATATTGTCGGCTGCACGCACGTGAATGCGCAGTCTGCTGTGCTCATTGAGACTCTGGTCCACCTGGGTGCCTCGGTCCGCTGGGCGGCCTGCAATATTTACTCGACACAGAACGCGGTGGCTGCGGCGTTAGCTGAGGCAGGCGTGCCGATCTTCGCATGGCGCGGCGAGACCGAGGAAGACTTTTGGTGGTGCCTGGACAGGTGTATCCACAAGGAGGGCTGGCAGCCGAATATGATCCTGGATGATGGCGGGGATGCCACGCACTTGATGCTCAAGAAGTATCCGGATTATTTCAAGTCGATTAAGGGCATTGTGGAGGAGAGCGTGACGGGTGTCCATCGGCTGTACATGCTATCAAAGGCCGGAAAACTGACCGTCCCGGCAATCAACGTCAACGACTCGGTGACGAAGAACAAGTTTGACACCTTCTACACTTGCCGCGATTCCATTCTCGACAGTCTAAAGCGCACCACGGATATAATGTTTGGCGGCAAGCAGGTCGTTATCTGCGGCTACGGGGATGTTGGCAAGGGCTGTGCCCAGTCACTGAAAGGCCAAGGATGCATTGTCTATATCACCGAGGTTGATCCGATATGCGCACTTCAGGCGGCTATGGACGGGTTCAGGGTGATGCGCCTCAGCGAAGTCATTCGGGACGTAGATGTGGTCATCACGGCCACGGGAAATAAGAACGTCATAACCCGGGATCACATGAATCGGATGAAGAACGGATGCATTCTCTGCAACATGGGTCATTCCAGTTCCGAGATCGATGTGGTATGTCCGATCAACATTTTCCATCGACCATTGAAACCTATTTTCTGTGTGTTTTCAGAGCAGCTTACATACACCTGAACTGATTTGGGAACGAGTGCGCTCGCAAGTGGACCATATCATTTGGCCAGACAAAAGAATGATTATCCTGCTGGCCGAGGGACGACTTGTTAACCTCTCCTGCTCGACCATTTCGTCGTTTGTTGTGTCCGTGGCTTCCTCCACCCAGGCTCTTGCCCTCATCGAACTGTACTCTTCGCCTGGAAGATACAAGTCGGACGTTTACTTGCTGCCAAAGAAAATGGGTATGTTGGCGTGCATTCAGTCACCCATTTCTAAACTAAATTTTAATTGTTCACCAGATGAGTACGTAGCCAGTCTGCACCTGCCCACTTTTGAAGTGCACCTGACGGAGCTGACGGATGAGCAAGCCAAGTTCATGGGCTTAAACAAGGCCGGACCTTTCAAAGCTAACTACTACAGGTATTCACATTATATTATGGCTTCGATCCCAAATCCTATTAATTAAATATCATTATTATTTACAGATATTGATCACTTTACTCGCATAGTTATTCATTATAGTTATTATTCTCCAGTATTTTGATGTTATTAAAGAAAGAAGAGGCAAAGGTTTTGTTAAATTGTTTGTCTATTTCTTAGCCCGATCCATAAAACTATTATCTCATAGTCTCATTGCCTGCGGAGGAGCAGCAGCAGCTGGAAGAGCTGTTACCTCTGGTAACCGGCATCGCCAGATTTTTCTTAATAGGGTGCTCTCCTTAGGTAACGACTGTTCAACGGCTTTGTACCGTAGGAGGGGACTCTGCCATTCACAACGGTGTCTTACTTTTTTTCTAAAAATGTACCGAAATATATAAACGGCCATTGTACCCTCAGTAATATACCAAAAAATTTACCAAAGAATATAAATACCTTAGCCAAGTTCAGAACCTACCCCCAAGTATCATGTCGACTAGCTTTTGTCAGAGTGGCGCACTGGATTTTCAATATACAACTTCTGTACATACCAAATATTATTTCCCGGCACAATAAGGTTTTGTTTTTGTTTGAAATGCAAAACGTGGACGACATCAAAGGAGGCGGGCAATCGTTTGAGGTTTTTTTTATTATTTATTCTTCATGCAGAAAGAGATGAATACATTTTGTTGTTTTTGGTTTTTTTTATTGCTCACCTGACTCCATCTTGGAAAATATTTTAGGTATTTGCATTAAATGTCAAGTATGGGAAATGAATGTTGTCGTTTCGACTCTAAGCATATCCAGCACAATGGAGCCTATGGAAGAATATCTCTGTGAGATAAAAGAATTAGTTAATAACGCAAATGCTGCTTCCATGTCCAGTGAAGGGTGCTTGGAATGGAACACTACTCTGAACGATTCTCCCTCCATGCTCTGTTTGGGCAAACTTATCATATTGATCAGACTCTTGGCCGACCGATTTCAGGAAAAGTTTGGTCGTCACAGCAACCAGATGGTCGGCATTTCCAGAACTTTAACAAAATGTATGTGGTCACCAGAATGTTTACAATCTTTCTTACCACTTTACTCTGTAGGTAGAGGACAAATTAAGAGACTTTATCTGACACTTCCTTGGGGTCAGTTGGAAATGCAATTAAATAAAGTTGTGGAACCAAGTTTTGTGCTTGCACTTAATACTATATTTTCGGAGTTGGAGGGCGTCATCAAAGAGCATTTAGCCCATACAGAAGCTGAAACGCAAAAGCCGGCTTTTCACAAACTGCATTTAAAAAAAGCTAATCTCTGGAAACCAAGTCCACCAAAAGAGCTTGGCAGAGGGGCGGCTCAGTTAAGAAATGTTGAAGCGAAGAGGGAATTGGAACAGATTGATCATAAGCTAATGCTGCTGAAAGAACATACATTGACCCGAAAAGCGATTCTTTTTCAGCATGCGGCCGAAATGAAGTTTCAAAAGCAGCAGGATCTCCTTTTGGAGCTAAGCAGTGATCTGTCAGAAGAAAAACTAAAATTGCAAGCAGCACTCAAAGAGAACTCTAGACTGGTGCAAGTACAACAGAAGAGCGGCCAATCATCCTGTCAAAAGAAAAAGGCTACACTAAAGGCAATTTGCAATGTTTCACCAAAGAGCTGTACGGCAACCGAATCGCGTTCATCGCTTATAAACAAGCCAACTGTAGAGGAGAATTACCCAGGAACAACGTTTGGCCAACGCCGGCAAAAACTGCTTCGCTGGTGTCAGGAGAAAACTAAGCCGTATGGCCTACCCATGTATGAGTTCTCCACATCCTGGCAGAGCGGCCACGCACTCTGTGCGATAATTCATTCCTACCGCCCAGAACTGATTGACAACAAATACCTCAAGTGTAAGAACCGGCTGGAGACGTTGGAGTACGGGGTAATGGTCGCTAAATCTCTGGGAGTTCGGAGCCACATTGATTTCGTGTCTTTGTGTCTGCAAAAAATACCCCAAAATATGAAGGTTTTCCAATTCTTGACGGAGCTATACAACTGCCTGGAACACAACAGTTGAAAGTGAATTTAATTGTAAATAATAGTAGCCAGCCATCGATATTAGCCTTTGTCGAGGTATAATTTATAAAATATGCAATTTAATTAATTTTATCATTAGGGTGGTCGAAATTGTTAGCTAATTACGAGCAACCGCGAGGCAAGATTCATAAATAAATATAGTTTTAATCATCTGGTTCCGAATGAATGAAGGAGTTTTCCCAGTAGCTCATGATGGCGTAGATTACCATTTGGTCGGCCCGTGGCCCTATTAAAGGATTCAGCTGCATTAGAAAAGTGACCAGCCAGACGAGATAGCAGCAGGCAGCCGTTAGTACAACGCAGCATCGGATGACTCCTTTGTCCTCGTATCGCATGGCCAGCAGCCAACCGCCCACGGCAAAGAGCAGCCAAAAAGCGCTGAAGACCGATAGCACAATATATTTATCCATTCCGAAGATTTTCCCAAGATATGCTTCCCAGTTTCTGACAAGTTTCTCTATCGCTCCGACGACAGAAGCTAGCTGCCTACTCTCTGCTCAGGCTTATTCTCTGAGCTTGCTTGTGTGCAATCCCAATTCGGGTGGTGCCTGCACTCATAAACTTTTATGATTGCGAGCATTTCGATATTTTATGGCAGCATCCACTGGATGCGATGCTGCTTGCGCAGTGGAGCGCAAAGGTAGTAAAAGAAAACTGTATACATTTTCCGAGTGCTGGCATCAATGGAGCAACCCATAAAACTGCTGCACGCATCCTGACTAAGCGCAAAATCCGTTTTAGGAGAGCTGATGGCTCTCCAGCCATGTGGCTGCTGGGCTGCTGGGCTGCTGGGATGATGGGGTGGCTGTTCTGCGCCTCCTTCCCTGCCCGAGCCCGAGCCTGAGCCCTGATGATGCCATAAGTGCTCAGGCGCGACTCATAAAATGGCGGCAATGGCAATGCAATGTGGCAAGGGGCATGGGCACCCAGCGCCTGTAATCGAGTTTTCCCAAAGTAGCAATAAATGTTAATGGCGACATCGAATTTTCCATTTTCTCACAATAAGTATCTAGACGTCCGGTGCCAAGCCGCCCTGCCAGCGGTTATTTCGCGGTGGTGGAGTGCTTGAAAGAGGCCATCTTTAATTCCATTATAGATCCGACCACAACGGGAACGACGGCTATGCAAAATCCGTTTATCTTTTCGCAAACAGAAGCAATAGTTAGCTGCTGGACATCGAATCTTCACACCTCGACCTCAGCAAGAAATTTAAAATTTCGACTGCGAAACTACGAAGACTCTGTTGCTCTTTGCAGTGTCAGATCGATTGCAGGTCGTAAATCACGCCCAGAGGGTTTCTGAGTCGCAAGCAAATGCAAATCAAGCAAAAATGTGTGATTTCCCCTTTAAACACCGTCGGCACTTAAGAAGACCCGGACCTTAGCAGACGCAGACCCAATTCTGGGACACCACGACGCTATCTGTTCCGGTGTCGGTTTGTCTCAACATTTCTTTGACAACAGACCGTCAAAATATTTGGACGCCTCGTAGCCCTTTCGAGGCGTAACTGAGCAAAGATGTGGAAAATGCTATCACGTAACACCAAAGACTGTTCTAGTTCTAACTATTTTATTGTTCAACCTAGTTCTGAGGATATGAATAGACCACGTTTTGGGATCCGATTTCACAACTATGAAGGATAAATGGCCAACGGGCAGTCAACTTAAATTTGTCAGCGCTTTCAGCTGTAGTATATCCACCAGATACTATGCTATGATAAAGAGTTACCATAGAAACGAAAACCATTCATGGAAGTGCATTTGGCTGCACTATTAAATGGTAAGGCCGGGCTGGTACATGTTTTGCCGAGCAAATCTGAAATATATGAGAGCATTCACAGTGAGGATCATCAGTTTAAGAGGATAGTTAAACTTGTGAAACTGAAGAGAATGTCTGTGGTTCTCTGGGAGAATGTAGAGGGAGTAGAGTGCAAGTGGATTGTACATATGTATGTATGAAGGTGGAATATCTTAGATCTTAAATGGCTAAAGTCAAACCAATCACAGTAACACCGTAGTGTAGTTCGCTTTAGTTGTGTTTATTTAATCAGATGAACAACAGACGAATATCATACATGCACATTTATACTTATGTACATATGTTTCACTTCAGTTTGGTTGGACACAGTGGCCTCATCTACATAGTTTCCGTTCCACCTTACAAGAACAATTTGGCTGTGTCGCAAGACACTAGCACGCGTTATTTGTGCAGTCACTTAGCAGGCTTAGCACTGTTTAAGGAAGTGAAGTGCCTTGCGGGCCCTGCCGCACAAAGCTTGCAACACATTTCACAGGCAAACATCTGAGGAGCTGTCCCTCTCTTTGGCCTGTGGTGATGGCGCTGTGTCCGGTACTCATTACCGCTTCCCAACCATGCAACTTGTAGAATTCCCAGTCGAGTCAAACGTGTTGGGAGCAAACACAAGCACTGGCACCCGGCCTTTGTTGTCTTAGCCACGGATCCATAATCAGTTGACTGACCCGCACCGCCGCATAATACCATGGGTTGAACGCAGAATTTAGTTTAAAGCATTCCAAAATATGGCTCTAACTTTCAGTTTCAGGGACCCATTCAGTACACTGTTTAACCTACATTTTTACTGTTACTCTCCTAATATGTAACTTAATATTTATTGCCGTCAAAGTGAATTGAATATCTTAGGCACCTGAAGGCCCTGAACGGTAAAGGCTTTTGACTTTCATCTAAATTTGTCTAACGTTTACAAAATAAAGAACTGTTTGCGAGTATGTAGGATGTTTGGGTTATATGTATACTCCTATGCAAACTCCTTGATACCTTTGTGCATTTCCCACTTTACATTGAGAACTTTCGTTTTCGTTAGAGATAAAACTGAGTTCGGCAGGTCCCCTCTTGTCTGGGCAATATTTGCGATATTTTTAATGATGCGAACATCACACGGAGCAGTAAATAAGACCAAAATTTATATGTGCATCCACCCTAAAAGTTGCTCTTAACAAAAACCCTGAGTGTGCGCAGAATTAAATTCATCCATCGATTGGGATTGATTTTAGGCGGGGACGAACACGAATCGTTGCGTGTAGCTGTCGGCCACAGAGGCAGGGAGGCTAGAGAGAGCAAGAGCGGGCAATAACAGTAACTGGCACTGCAACTTGGCTCTGCCTCCGTTCCATCTTGACTCAAATGAGCACTGCGCAGATACAGTTACAGATGGGTCTGCTGTGGGGGCGTCATTGGTCGGTGGTTGATTTCTGTCACTGCGCGTGAAGAAGTATTTGTGTATCTGGAACGGTTCTGCAACCCCAACAGCCAAGCACGCACCAAAAAATACAGGCATACATGTATGTACGAGTATTCGATACCCGAAATCGAAGAATATCGAATTTGTCAGGGCCTGAGGGTGTGGGTGCCTGGGCGTGTGTTGAGGGTGAGGGTGAGGGTGAGGCATGTAAAGATATATATCCGTCATATATCTCCAAGCAGTATGTCCATTGCAACGCCTCAGTCCCTTGCCCCACGACGCGTCGGCTTATTTATTTGTTTATCTACAACAATTTATGATCCCGAGACCAAAGACGAGACTGTGAGCTATATCTTCCTGGTGCGCTGACTTTTGTCGCACATGCTCAGGGTTCGGTTCTCTCCCCGTTCGTCACGGTCGCCGTTGTTGCTGATACTGCTCCGCTCCTGTCCTATTGGCAATGCTGTCGCCCTAGCTCTGGGCTCTGGGCTCTGGGCTCTGGTGACGTGACTCTTGGCGTCGGCGTCGTCGCTAGCTTGGCTGTTTGGCTCATGTCGCAGAGCGCGAGAGTGCGGCCCTTGTGACTGCGATTCCTGGAAACTAACAGCGATTCACAGACAGCGGAGAACTCGCACATCATTCAGTCGATGACGTTCCGCACCATAGCTCCAACTCCACTGGCTCTAATACTAGGCCGCCGTCGCGCGCTTTGTCGAAAGTGTTAAAATAATAAACCAACAACAACGGCAGTCGGCAATACGCCAACTATGGAACTATAACAATCGTAATAGTCACTCAAAGTACAGGCAATTCTTCCATTAACAAAATTTAATGTGCAATACGTTCCGCGCCAATCTTTGACTCGCTTCAGTCACAGTCACCGAGAAAGTGTACTTTCAATTATAACGACATCAAATCAGATCTATGTATGCACGGGAGACAGACAGGCCGAAGTCAATCTCGCTTTTATTAATAATTGCGGCTATCAGGTTGTTATCGACAATCCCAGCTGCTGTTCTCTGCCTCATTACCCTGCCTTGTGTGTCCGAGTGTTTGTGAAAATCTCGTGCCCTAGCGTCGGGTGTCGTTAATAAGTCTTTTGTAATAAATATCCCTATATGTATGTGGAGCCTACTTTAGGTGTGAAACTTGCTTTGGTAAGAATGTACATATATGTATGCATGTTTATACTATAACCAGATCGGCAAATCATAGTGTCACATAAATATATACACTGCTATAGCTAACTTTATGTGATGCCGTGTGCATAGATTAAGTTTGATTTGACTACAATCGGTCAAGGAAATACTCGTTCAAATAAAACCTGTATGTACCTGAAAGATAGTGTTTTGTGTAAATGTGTTTAACAGCCGGAAGTCAGCGTTACTGACCCCATTAAGTATTCTAATGGTTTTACCTAGCTTATTTCCGGATTGAGCTATATAAATCAAGAGTTAATTTTTGAAATGCTTCAAGAGATTTTTGCAATCGGTAGAACGGTCAATATATGGCGGGGTTTCAGGATTATTTTACCATTAATACGCACCTCTGGACGAGCTCTGTAACTGGTTATTTTGGACAACTATTCGGGTTCGATACTTTTGCAAAGAACAAAGCGATTCGCACGGGACAAATACGGAAGTGATTTTCGCAGCGACCGGTAGACCGGTAGAAGCAATATAATAATACAAATCTTTGATAAATCTGGTCCATAGGTGTCTCTATAATGTGGCTATAGTTTCGGAAAAATATCGTAAATTCTTTTTAATTGGATAACTGGAACA